CAGAGAAGCACATTTCTTCACCCCAGTTCTTCAGTTGTATGGATACAGTTCAAAGAGACCACCCTCTTTTATTTTATAAGCTCATTATTAGTAACCTTCGGAAACAATGCTGTCTGAATCCTAGGTCCTTGATCAGTTAACATCAGTCTTGTGACACAGGCTTACACTTTGGCTCCCTTTCTGGAAAATTCCAGAACTACATAAAAATCATTTCTAAAATCCTGATAGACATGTTTTGCCAAGAATGTCAGTTATCTCTTGACAGTTTGGCATTAGCCTTTAAATATTAGATTGTGTAATCATAATGGCATTCAGGGAAAATAAGGCAGTGGGTGGCTGGCATTTTAAAAGTAAAATGAACTTGGGTTCGTAGCAGTGTTAATCATTAGTCTACTGAAAAATGCTGATGCTATTTTTTAATAGTGAAATCATAAGTAAATAAAAAGTTGTATTTTGTTGCTTTGGCCAGTGTTGCTCAGTGATTAAAGCATCGACCTGTGCACTTAAAGGTTGTGGGTTCGATTTTTGGGTCAAGGGCATGTACCTGTGATGCAGATTCAATTCCTGGCCCTGGTCAGGGAGCATGCAGGAGGCAACTAATTGATTTGTCTCATATTAATTTCTCTCTATCTCTCTCCCTCCGCACCCCCCCCCCCACTTCCATCTCTAAAAATCAGTGGGAAAAATATATCTTTGGGTTGAGGATTAACAAAAAGAGCAGTATTTCACAAATAACTTAGATGAGAGATAAGTAAAATGTAATTTTATGGGTTTAACACATGTTTACCAGAATATCTGAAGGATATTTTTAAGCTTTGAAACTGAGAAAGTAAAGAAGGAAGCTTCTAGTGAGTTCCCACCAGTCTGCTAGCCTGACAAGCACATCTTAGCAATAGATCATTACTTTTGTCATTGTGTCCTGCCTTCTCATTGCCTTCCTTGCCCTTGACCTTGCAGCAGAGAAGAGAAAGTAAGTCATGGCCTCTACCATAAATACACATGGTAACAGCAGTCTAGTAATTTTATATATTTTTTGTGGACAAGTCATTCATTTGTGATGATGGAATGGCTTATTTTTAATGTAATTTTTCATTCAACTAAATTTAAATTCTTTTTCCATCTAATTTAGTATCTGTACCCCATTCCAAGGCAGCATAAATTTAGCACAGCTTCTCATTTTACCAACTTAATAGAAGTTTTTAAGGTTTTACTCAGTTTCCTTTTAGCTTTTCACATGAAATGGACTATAATAACTCATTAATTTACAGCAGTAGTGGGGAACATCCAGCCCTTGGGTCATATAAGACCTGAGAAATCATTTGGTCTGGCCCTGCCAAGGCATTAAATGAGTTAATTGAATGTTTGACCAAATGTAGCGGGCTAATTTTAAAACTGATAATTTTGTATGGCCTGTGAATGGTGTTATAAATATCCAAATGGCCCTTGGCAGAAAAAAAGGCTCCCCACCCCTGATTAACAATATAGTGTGTAAAGACAGACCAAATGTATCTGGCATGTGGATTATGTCAGGGATTATGGGGAAAAGGTGGTTTGGAGCATTGATTTCTAATCAATGGAAAAATAGATTTGCAGTGACTATTTGGAAAGGAGAATCTTCTTTGGAAAATGGATAAAAGCATGGACTGTATCCCAAACAGACCACAAAATGGAATAAACCTGGATTTATTCATCATGTAAACAGGATAGAAAAGATATCCTTAATTTTCTAGAAGAGACATCCATGTGGATAACTCATAATTTTAAATAATTAATGAAGAGTAATTGCCAGAGATCAGTGCCATTCATATTAGTTTTGGTAGCTAGATTGTTCTTCTATAGATTTTTATATTATAAAATAGGTTACAACTTCTTTTTGTTAAACTCATTTACTCTTCTACCTTACTCCATTCTTTCATTATCCTTATAAATTTGTTTAGTTTTGTTTAATGGCTGAGATATCTTTATCTGTACTACTATATTCAGTTGACTACTTTGGATATCCCACATTGAGTGGAAACACACATCAGTGGAGCTCTGGGTGGGTAGAGATAGACACTAGTAGCAGTATAATGGTTTATAATTCATTTAACCAATATTCTGTTGATAAATATTTAGATTATTTCCATTTAAAAATTTTAGTAAACATAGTACCAGACACACTATCTTTAGAACTTTTTATTAAACAATAAAATATATACAAAAACTGCATAAATAGTTTTTGTAGCTCAATGATAAATGGAACAATAAAGTTGTAACTAGCACCCACAAAGTCCCTAAGGGTGCTCAAAGCTCTTTTCCAATTGTCGCAGTCTCCACTAGCCTAACCACTATCCTATCTAAACATAATTGATTCATTTAGCCTATTTGAAATGTGTGTAAATGGAATCTTAATGTGTATGCTCATTGGTATCTGGCTTCTTTCACTATTATATCTGTTAGACGTACATTTATGTGTAGCAATTCATTTTGGGGGGTGTATAATAGTCTGTTGGGTGACTGTATGCACCATAATTTATCCTTTTTATAGTTGATGAACCTTCAGGTTGTAACCTAATTTTTGAATATTACAAATAGTGCAATGAACATTCTTAGGCATGTGTGGTGGTGAACCAATCTATGCATACACTGAGTGGCCAGATTATTATGATCTCTGAATGCATAATAATCTGGCCACTCAGTGTATATCCTATATAATAATCTTATATAATAAAAGGCTAATATGCAAATTGTCCCCTCGACCAAGAGTTTGACCAGCAGGCAGGCTGGCCAACCACCCATGTCCCCTCCGCCTGGCCAGGCTGGCTGGACTCCCACCCATGCACGAATTCATGTACTGGTCCTCTAATACACACACACACACACACACACACACACAATGTGGCCAGATTATTGTGCGTTCAGAGATCATAATCTAGCCACTCATTGTATATGTCAGGAGAAGCACTGATGGGCATAAGGTGTGCATATGTGCAGCTTTACAGGGTCAGGTATCCAGTGATTGAAACCATTTCATATTCCCACCGGCAGTGCCTGGTTGTTTTGAAGCATAATTTCATAGGAGTGAAATTTGAATAAAAGAGTAAGTTAATTTTAAGTTTTGAGATATAGTGCTAAATTTGTCCTCAGGAATTTCATACTCCATTGAATACTAGGTTTTATCTAGCTTTCATCTTTATCAGTTTATAGTGAAAAATGTCTCATTTCTAAACTGAGTTGAACTTTTTATAGCTTAATTTTGCTCATTGGAATTTTTTTCTATTAACTTTGCTATTCTGGCCTTTTCTTTGTTGGGGGTGTTTCTGATTTTGCTTACTACTTTGTAACAACAATTTTTTTTTTTTTAAATAAAAATTTTGGTCATATGCTATACTTTTTTCCTTCTTTGTCCTTTGATTTAACTGTCTTTTACAGTATAGAAGTTTTAAATGTGTGTGCATACTTGCATCTGCTATTATTTTCCTCTGTGGTTCCTGGCTTTGGTGTCAGTCTTAGGAAAGCCTTTTTACCCCCGAGATTTTTTTTTTTTTAAGTGTTTTCTTTCATGATGTTATTGCTTATATTTAATATTATTTATTGTAACTATATTTGACTTCCTTTTCTTTCACTAACACAAGGGTACTTTTTAAAGTCTTAAAACAGTTTAAACATACACTCTTCTATTTATTTCACTAGGATTAGCGTTGGAATATTTTGCAGGTGTCAGAGGGTGACTGGTCAGGAAGAATGTAGTATAACAAAGCATGCATGTATGTGTCATTTGACCATGAGAAATAAAGCCAGTTTTCCATTGTGGATACTGTTTGAATCCTTTCCGAGTGCATGTTACTAAAGTAGTTAGGTCAACGTAGCATAGACTAAATTATTTTATTTAATATCAGTAGAGGATATTGTTCAAGGCTCTTCAACAGGACTTTGCCAAAAATACCCCTGGTCTCTCGTTCTTTGGCCTACAGTACAGGATTGGAGTGATCAATACTTCATTTCAAACCTTTAAAAATACAATTTTTCTCTATTTAAGAGATGATTTAAAAATTTTTGGATTATTTCTCTTTTGCACAATAGTACATGCAATTTGTACTGCTGATTTAGATGAGACCAATCTGTCATATTTTTTTAAATGTTACAGTGGCCCCAGCTGACGTGGCTCAGTGGTTGAGTGTGGACCTGTGAATCAGCAGATCAGGGCACATGCCTGGGTGTGGGCCCCATCCCCAGTGGGGAGCGCGAAGGCAGCAGCTAATCGATGATTCATCATTGATGATTCTCTCTCTCCCTCTCCTTTCCTTTCTGAAATCAGTAAAAATATTTTTTTAAAATAAGTGTTAGAGGGGGCTTTGTGAGTTCTCCAAAGCCATTACCACCACCTAAAGTTCCTACCAGAGTTTTTTAGACCACAGAGCAGAGACATAAAACAGGTCCTAGACCAGTAGCCCTCTCCTGTGCGGAGATGGATTGGTTTTGTTTGTGTAATTGAATCCTAGTACCTGAAAGAGGTGAGAATCTCAAGGAGAGGTATGCTTTTGAGGAAGAGAACACAGAAGTGTTAGTCCTTTGTGTTTATAACCCAGAGTCCCCCAGTCTAAGAGGGATGGAGGTTCAGTAGGGAGTGAAAGCGTAGGTGAAAAGAAGCACTTCAGACAAGATTTAAACTATTATTTGTTTATTTTGCTGGTCTTTTGCATTTGGTAGCGCAGTACTTGTAGCAAGGTTGTGTCTGTATTTTGACAATTTGCTAAGCCAGGGATAAAATTGTGGGGACTTTCCTTAGTAAATCCATAATTTTAGGAACATAGCATTTTTAGTTTAGGAGAATTAGTGTTTTCCCTGAGTATTTGAAATCGACTAAAGGGATACTGGGTTTATGTTAAAGGCTCATTGGGGATCAGCTGGAAAGGAGAGGTGGGGGGGGGGAGACTACGTACCTGTTTTTCATTTATGTGCAGTATGTACAAAAAGCCGTCTCATGCATTTTACATAGTTAATCCATTTGATCCTCACAGAAATCCTAAGAAATGATGTTTTCCTGAATAGTAAGGAGAGAACAAAGGCTCTGGGAATGAGCTCACATTGTTTTGTCTAGGCCCACAAACCTAGTAGATGGCAGTTCTGGAATTTGCACTCGATTCTCTGAATCTAAAGCCCATTTATATTCTTTACACAAGAGTATATATTGCCTTCTAAATTAACAGATTTATTATATCTTTTAAATATTTCATCAGTTTTATGTAAATGTTGGTTACATTTAAAATGGCGAAATTAAGATGTCATATTTAGTTCTTTAAGATAATATAAAGCCTGTGTAATTTCCTTAACCTTCTACCTTAGCATTGAAAGTAAGCATGAAGTTACGATCCTGGGAGGACTCAATGAATTTGTAGTAAAGTTTTATGGACCACAAGGAAGTAAGTACATGTGTTGGTCTGTGTTCTTCTATTACAGTTTTTATTCTCCTTAATGGACAATAAAAATATCCAAGACAGGTGGTGATACATGTGGTTTTTGAAAAGTAAATTTACAACTCTAGAACCAGGGAGAAAAATCTCGCTGTTATCGTAGTTACTTCATATGGTTTTCCCTCTTATCTGTATGTGACAGTATTAAACATGAATTGTGAATTCTGGGTTTTATATGGATGACTATACTGATGGCTTAGGGAAATGTGTTTTGTTTTATGATCTATGTGTTTGGGAGGGGGCATAGGTTAGATTGAGATAAGAAGTTATTACTTCCTAAATAATTGGATACTGTTTAATACTTTAAAGAATCATGTAACATGAGGGAAGAAAGTGAATCTTTTCTCATTTTCTAACTAGATTTTTAAAGAAAAGTACTTTAATCTGAACATAGAATTATAAGAGGTCCCTGACTTTCAAGGGAATTTGCAAGGTTATCAAAAGAGATTAGGATTTAATGTTTAATTTACACTCAGGTCTATTTTCTAATTTGGAGACGTATTTTAATGTGCAACACTTTTACTTTTCTTTCAGCCCCTTATGAAGGCGGAGTGTGGAAAGTTAGAGTGGATCTTCCCGATAAATACCCTTTCAAATCTCCATCTATAGGTAGGTAACTACCCAGTTTCTCTCTTTTAACAGTTTTGATATTAAAGAGAAAAAAAAAAAAAAATCCTAGGTTTTGTGGGAGATAATTCCAGAAATGGCTTGTTAACTGAATTTTTCCTTTTTTGACTTTGGTTAAATTGATCAGTGATGTTTTATGGGACTTCCATAGTGTGATAGAAGATGTTTAAATATACCCTTTGCCTGATTGTAATGACTACAACTGTAGATTTTTTTTCAGGGTTAGATTAAACAATTAGAAAGCTCACTATCTATTCAGGCTACAAGCAATACAATAATAAGTATATCTTAAATTTCATTTAAATGCCAGATTGTTGGAATTAATATTATATAGTTTCTATTCTAATTCTGTCATTTAAAAATTCTCTGTGTATTCTACTTTGTTGTTGTTTTTTTCACTACAGCTCTGGGTACCTAGCAATGAAATGACTGTTTTCAATTCTCTTTACTCCTAATCTTTAGTCTTTTAAACAGCTGAAGAAACTCATTTAAACAGCTGAAGAAACTCCAGTGAGATTATATAAAGTTTTTTTCTTCACCTTCATCTTCCTTCTACCCAAAGGAGTGATATTTTTAAGTGTCACATCCAGTAAGGCACTTGTGACAGTTTAGGTATTTTTGTGTCAGATGCAATAGAGGTATATCTGATTGAAGGTTAATTCCTTAATTATTTTGAGTTTATAAAATGGTAGTAATTTAGCTAAGGTAGTAATGTAAGCCAATTTTTAAAAATATTATTTTTATTGATTTCAGAGAGGAAGGGAGAGAAAGATAGAAACATCAGTGATGAGAGAGAATCATTGATTGGCTGCCTCTTGCATGCCTTCTACTGGGGGTTGAGCCCACATGTGCCCTTCACCGGAATTGAACCTGGGACCTTTCAGTTTGCAGGCTGACACTCTATTCACTGAGCCAAACTGGCTATGGTTTAAACCATTTTTTAAAAATTTCATTCTATAAATAATAATTTTTTAAAAATATATTCTATTGATTTTTTACAGAGAGGAAGAGAGAGGGATAGAGAGTTAGAAACATTGATGAGAGAGAATCATCGATCAGCTGCCTCCTGCACACCCCCAACTGGGGATGTCCCCACAACCAAGGTACATGCCCTTGACCGGAATGGAATCCGGAACCTTTCAGTCCACAGGCCAACACTCTATCCATTGAGCCAAATCGGTTTTGGCAGATTATTTAAAAATACTCTAAAACATTGTCCAATTTTAAGAACAGGAGGAAATAAAATTGGAATATATTGAACATTCTCTTACAGTCACACCAAGCCTCATGTTCAGAATTGCCTGAGTTAAAACATCTTGCTGCTGCTGTGGGCTTGTCTTTGGAACTAATAGGAGATTAGACACATTCCCCTGCCCCAACAATAGGGATTTTAAAAGAGGTAGATCAAAGGCATTCTGAGCTTTATGCTTTGATTCTAAGCCCCCACAATTCTGCCTAGGATAAATAATGCAGGAAAGTTAGGATTGTCACAGACTAATTCTCAGTTAAATGCAGCAGCCTCTCCCCTGACATCTAGCTACTTTATATGCTTTAGAGCTTTATGCTATAAAAATACTACAAAGCATCTCATTTCTTCTCAGCCTAGGAACTGTTAGTGTTCAAACTAGTGATTTCCTCTTATGCTCTCTTGGGTGAGTTTTCTAAATTTAGTAATTGAGAAGAAGTACTTTGTGGATAATTGAGTTGGAAGCATCCCCATTGCTACCAGGGTCTCTAAGCTTCAGTTATCAAATGGTGATGTAGGAGGAAGCTGTGAGGTGTTGAGTCTTTGAGACAGTCAGGGTGTCTGCGTTCCTGTCTATGTGGTTGGCAACAGCCCTGTCCCAGTGCCATTCTAGGGTAGTAGGTTCCACTCAGTTTGGGACAGCTTTTCTATCATGTTGTGCTACCCTGTCCCCCATTTACCTCTTGACTTTAGGGTGTTTCTGTATGTAGATATTTTAAACCCTTATGTAGTTGAGTGGTGTGATCTTTAAACTTACACAAACAGAATTCCAAACCATATAAATTCATTTAAAGACATTTCATAAATTTACTTAGACCTATTTACTTAGACTAAAAATTGGCATGCTAAATCTAGTTTTGTTACCCTAGATTCTTAATCAGAAAAGAAACAGTATAACTGGAAATGAACAGTGAATCTATAGAAATGCAATTACATATATCCTATAGAAATGTAGTTATTTCTCAAATCTTGTCTTAACATACTTTTTCAGGTAATACAGTTGCTTCATTATAACTTTCAAATGAAAATATCTATACTTTAGACATTGTTAATTTATTAACTAACAATGTAGCAGAAACCTATGCACTTTCTTATATTAATAATGTAATGTGAAATTGGTTGAGACAAATGACTAGGCTAATTTAACCTCATAATTTTTCCTTTGCCTTTCTGTATGCTTTTAGAACTTTGTAATACCTACAAAGTGTACCATCTTCTCTTAAGGAAGTAGATGTAGTTGAAATATTTGTACAAGCTGTCCTTGTTTCTCCAAAGAAAGATTGCATAAGAGAGTTTTAATCAGTTGTGTGGGGTGACCCATTTTCAGGTCATCAACAATGTAATTACTGTTGGAATGTGCTTTAAACACTTCAAGGGGGAGTGGCTCACTAGAATAAGCAAGGCTTCCTTTTCAAGTAATATAGATAGTTTTAGAATTATACAGAAGGGCAAGGAGATAAGAAAATCCCAACATCAATGTTCTTTATAAACCCTGCCTCTTATAGGATCTAGGCAGGCTTACACTCCTTCCTGTGCCAAATTTTGAGCTCTTATATATTAAGATGTATAAATTTAGATTAATCCTCCTTGATACCTAGATCTTGGAATTTAAAAAGATATATGTATATATGCTTTTTTGTTTTATATTTATATATAAGCATATATATGTGTATATATATAATTATGTGTATATATATAATTTTTAATTGTATAAATGCTCGATATCCATAACAGGAATGTAAGAAAGTCCAAATGAGCAAAAATTAAAATGTCTCATAATCCTATTCCTCACTGGATACCATCATTTACATTCTGGTGTATGTACTTTCAAACATTTTTCTGCATACTTAAGTATATATTCCATATAATTTGGCATACTTATCTTTAGGATGTTCTCCAGACATAATTTGATAGAGTTTTCAGTGTTTACATGATTTTATGAGGTATAACTAAAAATGTCCTGTTTTTAAACAATTTGCATCTTTAAATGTTTTTTTCAAAATAGTAATAAAGCTAACTCAAATCCTCTTTGGAAAGAAAAGGAATATAAATAGACACTTTGGGAGGTTATGAATTTACTCTTACAATGCCATCATTGTTCCAAACATCTTAAGCTCATCTTTTGGAATTTTACTTTCTCTTTGAATATTGTAAGTGATGGCAAATCTTGATGCTTTGAAGCTGGATATATAAATTTTTGAAATGACTAAAGGTCATTTAATCCCAGGGAAAACTGAGTATCATTAATTGGAGTAAAAAAATTATGTATGATTATAAAATTGACTTAAGTTTAAGGATTATGATTTTTTTATAAACTGACCCTATGGGAGTTTTCAACGAGAAATTATAAAACTCCTTTAATCACTTTAGACATCATTGAAATATTTGTTTAGTTTTCCTGAGTTGACTGCTTTGAAATAAATCATCGTTGATTCTTTCAGTTCTGATTTATTTGAAAGTTCACTTTTATCTTTCTCATTCAGAAACATTCCTGGAATGCTTAGCAGTGCTAAAGCTTTAGGAGAGTGTGATTGGTCAGTGGAGTGCTTCTGGCCCTGCTTTTCCTTGACCATGAGAATAATACCATCTGAACTGTTGCTTCCTCTTGTAGAAAATGAGATATTATAATTAAGTGAACTCTGCATGCTTGATATTGACTAATGTATAAAATACTCAAGATGTTTGCAATTCTACTGGATAATAGGGAAGGTTTAAGGTTTTCTCTAGTTAGGGAGGGAATATATCAATACGTCAATATAAATAAAATAAATCAATAAATAAAATGTTGCATATGTTTTGGTTACAGCATGCCATTGAAGGAGAGAGAGTGTATAGAGGAGATGTGTGTTGAGAATATAGTCTTTACAAAGCTTCAGAGATGTAGAAGTGCACATGACATCTTTAGACGTACTCTTTCAAGACCCCAAGTAATTTTCAGTCCATGAAGATTTTGTCCTATGCGAAGAAGTTGCTAAGAGACTGCCATATTCCATACTTCAGAGTCACAGTTTTCAGCCATTACAGATGTGCTCATCTAGTAAGAGAAAGTTTTTACCAAAGAAAACACAGACTTGCAGTTGCTGTGGGGGTGAAGTAAAGAAATGATTTCATAAAGAGGGCAATATAGAGCAATTATTTATAAAAATAAATAACCAATAAGCATAGGGTATAAAATGGTTTTATGTCTAATCTACATAACGCAGATTTTATTAATGAGAGAATATATGACTTATCAAATTGACAGGTTAGATGTTATTGGTAAAAGGTATGAGATGTAGTCAACCTAGCCGGACATATTGATGAATAAAGATTTTATATCTTTTGGGTCATTTTACTTAAAAATAAAATTATCTAAAGGAAATATTCAGAGATGTATTCTAAGATTAATGTGCAAGAATATGTACATTGCAGTGTTGTTTTTTTTAAAAAGTTGGAAGCAACCTAAATAACCCAGTTGACAACAGTTAAATTATGATACGGCCTAATGAACCAAATGTTTTACAGCCTTTACTTATGTTTTAACACATCTTTAAAGGTATACACAGAAAAATGTGTAACTTTATATAGTATAACTTTTTTTCCATGCAAATCCCAAGTATGAATGACAAAATATTAAGTATATTAAAGACATTTTTTCTGTAAATTTTCAAATATTCTTCAAATTCCTTTTTATCCTAAAAGTAAATGTTTTTAAACATATGGCAAATACATGTCTTTTAAGTATCCTGTCTGCATC